ATGAACCTTGTGAACCAACAGTTCCAGCACCTACGAGGTCGGACATGGAGTGTCAAACTGATGAATCGTTTTTCACAGCACCAAAGCCTGGAGACTCTTCAGAGAAAGAGACACCAGCTCCACCTGAAGACTCTTCAGAGAAAGAGAAATCAGGGGAACAGGAACCCAAGATTCAATCAGATGACACAGCTCCAGAACAAGAACCTGCCAAAAGATTATACTATGGTCAAGATATCACTGGACATGAAGATGATTCAATTTTTCGAAGATTACAAGATTGTTTTCCAGGTGGTTATCATGGTGAATGGGCAGGATTCTACAATCAAGGTTATCCAGTTTCTTCCAAACATCGACATATGTTTTGGCATGTCAAGTGCAGGAAGACCATGGCTCCACACAAGGACTACTGGTATCATATTACTGATGATCAGTTGATGGTCGAGTACATTGCAAGACACATGGATCAACAACCACTCGAGGAATTGGAAGAACTCAAGAACACTATTGAGTATGGCTGTAGCGATTTAAGAATGCATCCAAAACACCAAGACAAATCTGAATCAGCCTCAAGAGAAGCAGAATCTCGAATTGATGATGACTTTCAAAATTTGACCAGGGTACTTGAATGTTATGTTGAGGAACACAAAGTACTGCCTTACTGTACCGTACTACACTGCTTAGCAGCTAGGTATTTGGGAGGTGGTCTTATCGACCCAACTTACAACGATGAAGAGTACCCATACAGGATTTCTCCACAGTTCACAATGATGTTTTGGAACTTAGGGAACTGGTGTCGAAAAGGATTTGACAAATGCCCTGTTCCAGAAAGATTGGAAAGATTTGTTCCACACATCAGCTATGATATTGATGAACAACATGAACCTCTTGACAATGAGAAGACTCGGTACAACAATTATTTCATCAATGTCATCAAGAACTTCGGAGGACATCTTTTCTTGAATTGTGAAGCAGGCACAATCTATCCTCACAGAGCGCGTCTTGAAGAGGCTATGATGACTGTTTGCTTCAAGGACTACCAAGATTTGATGGTTGCTGCTCGTGTCGGCAAGGAAGGCTATGTAAGGCAAATTGCTGGCTACAGCGAGAAGGAGAATGACACACGAGTTCGTCAAGTCTCATGGGCGATCTTTGAGGTCTACTGGGGTAAGACCAAGCATCGTGACACAGAAGAGATCATTGACTTGACAAGAGCAAGGATGAAGATGACACGTGTGTGTATCTATCATGTTGGACAAGAATATGCCTCAAAATCAGCTGGTATCGTTGGTGAATGTATTGCTATTATGGCTTTCGAATGTGCAAGATACCAAGTTGACGTGATTGCAGGTGACGGCAACAAAGCAGCATATTTTACAACGTCAAAGTCACCAGGAGTTCCCACATATGAACATAGCTTGTTACAATACTGGATCAACAAGATGATGGCAGTTGCAACACAAGCTCAGCGCAAGAACTTTGATTCAACTAGCCCTCCAATCCGGGTCAAACATTTCATTCCTTGCAGCTATCGTGAACTTGATTTTCTTGCAACACATCTTGAAGGTATTACAACAGCTACATACACTGGAGAGCTCATCAAGAAGACAACAGACACGGGTGATTGTTGTATGCTTTCAGTGGTTGAGTGGGGCCATTCACGAGAGGTATATGAAGAAGATCTATCACAATTTGAAGATGAAGATCATCTAAACTACACTGGTGAGTTTAACTTCAAGGTGAACGAAACTTGCTTGAATGGTGATCACAACATCTTCATGGTTGCACCAAATGATCGTGATGCTCACAATCCTCTAGTAGTTCACCTGACACCTTCTACCATGACATGGAATGAAAGGAATTCCTTAAAACCAAAAGAGATGAAGATTAGAAGGAAAGAACAAAGGAAGGAAATTCAGAAGGCGAACAAGAGGAAGGGTTATGAAGATCGAGCTGAACAAGAACGATTGCAACGCAACACTGGCTATGGTGGATCTTCTAGCTCATCGTCCTGGACATGGAGACCAAAGTGAGTGTATACTTCTTTAGATGAAGAGAACACAGCTGAGAGGCTTGTACAGTTTTTCTGTGCGTAAGCTTGTTTCCAAATTAATGGCATATACTCTTTTAGATGGAGATAATGTCATTAGAATGTCCGGAATTTCATTTTATGTAGATAGAGACTCCTGTAGATAGAGACACTGTCACATTTTATGTCCGTTAACCTTCCGTTGAGCAGAAAACCTCCGAATGGAGCGAATCCAATATACAAATTTCGATTTCTGTCCATCGTTCGCTTGAATGAGCAACTTTGGAGATCCGCTATTTCCGTTTATTTCGTGATGTGGTCAATTGTTTTTCGTCGACCAAGCTTTTCTGAATCGTGCATTCGAAAGAGTTACGTTCCACACCGGTAGAGCAAGCATTTTGCTTGGAGAGACCGTGCGTAGCGCACCATTGGTCAGCCGGAGAAAAATTAGCGAATCCGCTGTTTGTTTTTCACTTCGACATGTCTTAAGGACATTCCGCTATTTCAACCGTTTTCTTTTCGAATCCACTGCGTGAACTTCGCATATCTTTTGCCGATTTGCCATTGTAGTTAACAGGGGAAGATACTCTTAATTCCGATTGAGTACGACAAGGCGTAGTGCTCTACTCATTGCTTTTGAATTTGTGCCTGTGTTTTTGTTCAAACTTAATACCTACCAGGTACTGTGCATGAGTATTGAGCACCTTGATATGCGCCTCCTTCAAGGCTCAAGAGGGATATAGAGTAACCCTGTGGACGCCACACTGACTGGCAATACGCCGAGAGTAAAAGGGTGTGAAGCCGTCCTGGGAAGACGTTCTAGCTGATCTATACTAGACGCTAGTTCCCCTCTTCAGCCCTCCCCCCTGCACCCCCCCACCCGCTTTTATTTTTTTTAACTGGCTCCCCTTGCTACCTACTATTCTTTTGCTTTTTCATGAGCATCATCGTTTATTTAGGCTCATTTTATCTTTATTGATATCCATCGCCACTTGTGACTTTGCCTATGTACTCCTTTCTTGGTACACATTGCGGGGGGAGGCGCTGCGCCCTCCCCCCTGCAATCCCTCCACCCGCTTCTATTTTTTGACCGGCTCCCCTTGCTACCTACTATTCTTTTGCTTTTTCATGAGCATCATCGTTTATTTAGGCTCATTTTATCTTTATTGATATCCATCGCCACTTGTGACTTGTGCCTATGTACTTCTTTCTTGGTACGCATTGCGGGGGGAGGCGCTGCGCCCTCCCCCCTGCACCCCCCCACCCGCTTCTATTTTTTAATCGGCTTCCCTTGCTACCTACTTTCTTTTTTTTCCATAAGCATCAGCAGTTACCAGCCGGCTCCCCTTGCTACCTACTATTCTTTTGCTTTTTCAAGAGCATCATCGTTTATTTAGGTTCATTTTATTTTTAGTGATATCCATCGGGATTTGTGCCTATGCTACAACAACCACTACAACCACTACTACTACTACTACTACCACCTACTACTACTACTACTACTACTACAATAACTACTACTACTACTACTACGACTACTACTACTACTACTACTACCACTACTACTACTACTACTACTACTACTACTACTACTACTACTACTACTACTACTATTGCTACTACTCCTGCTGCTGCTGCTACTACTACTACTTGCGTGCTGTATTTTTTTGATAAATATATTCTTTTTGATACGTGTCTTGCGATCATAATTGTATGTTTGAACATGTTTGAAAATATGCAAACACAAAAGTTTATCAAAAAACAATCATCAGAATAACAGGGCAAAAATAACAGAAAAACATATGACCAAAAATACCAGAAAACCAATGTGAAAAAAATGAAAGCAACATGAAGGAACACCAATAGAAAATGAAGGCACACTATTGAAAAATACATGAAAACTATTGGAAATGAAGGAAAACTAATGGAACATGAAGGACAACTAATAAAACATGAAGGACAACTAATGGAAAATGAAAAACAATTGAACAATAAACGAAAACTAATAAACAAATGAAGGAAAACTAATGGAAAATGAAGGGCAACTAATGGAAAATGAAGGAACACTAATGGAAAATGTGGAAAATTAAAGAAAACAAATGGAAAATGAAGGCAAACTAGTGGAAAATGAAGGAACACTGATGGAACATGAAGGAAAACTAATGCAACATGAAGGAAAACTAAGGGAAAATGAAGGAAACCTAACGGAAAATGAAAGACAACAATTGGAAAATAGAGAAAAACTAATAGAAAATGAAGGAAACGTAATAAAAAATGAAGGAAAACTACTAGAAAATTAATGGAACAACTCGTGGAAAATGAAGGAAAACTAATGGAAAATGAAGGAAAACTAATGGGAAATGAAGGAAAACAGAAAATGAAGGAAAACTAATGGAAAATGAAGGAAAACTAGTAGAAAATGAAGGAAAACTAGTAGAAACTGAAGGAAAACCAATAAAAAATGAAGGAAAACTAATGGAAAATGAAGGAAAACTAGTAGAAAATGAAGGAAAACTAGTAGAAACTGAAGGAAAACCAATAAAAAATGAAGGAAAACTAATGGAAAATTGAAGAAAACTAATAGGAAACCAAAAACAAAAAAAAATCCCCCAAAAAAAAACCAAAAAAAAACAAAAAAAAATCTTCGCCCCAAACAAAGCCTCGGCACCTTCGGTGCGGGCGGATTTGAGCCATGGGCCGTACCCAATTAAAATCAATTAAATCACTTGTTTAAGTCGATGACTTTATTGCTTTGGAGCTGTGGCTGCCACAATGAAAGCTGCAGCCTCAGTTGCCTCTTTGCGGAGAACGTTGGTCTGGAGTTGGAATCTAAGTCATATATACATGGGTTTATTTCAAAAATGGGGGACGCCCCGAAAGAATGGCAACTCCAGCAGAACAAACGGTGATAAACATCGTTTTCTCGGGTTTTACAAATTTGATTTTCATTCAGTTTTTTCTCTGCAGCCTGCAGGTTAGTGCCTGGACTTTGAGTGGGCTGGTTCCTTTAGCTCTGAAACACATGAGGTATGTTCAATGCTTTGAGCAGACCTTCACCCGACATATTTTTAAAAAATCTCCTCTTGCTCGAGCAATAATTTTCCAGCGGCAAAAGACTCTGTGCTGGCCTCAAGGTTTTGTGCTGTACTACTTTGTTCTGCCTTGGTCGTTGTAGCACTACACAGTTGTTGAAACATTGTGTAACCGGGCGTAAAGCTTTGGGCTGAAGGCTTGTAACGTAGTGAAACCAAAACGCAGAAAGGATGATTTGACCTTACTTCACCAACAAACCAACTCGATTCATTTTGCTGTCCCTCAACTGAGTACAAAGGTGGGAATCTGAAGATTCTTGATTTGATCAAGCCAACATTTTCGCAACAATCAGCCAACCTTAGCCAACCATTGAAGATCACAGAATCACCAACCATCCAACCTCAGCATCTTTAATAAAAACATCTCGACTGGATCGTGTTTCATGTGACCGTTTCCATGGCGAGCCGTTCGTGGTGATGCCTGTGTGGGTCGTTTTCGAAGTCCAGCACTAAGTGAACGCTCTTCAATGTGGATCAACTGGATTCTGCTCGGGTTTCTCGTGGGTCTAGGATGGTCTAGGTAATGTCCCTGGCAAGTTAACTGAACATAACCCGTTTGTGATGAACAAATGCCTTCAATTTTGACCCCACCGCGTCAATGATCTCCAGAGTTTGACGGGTCCTAGTTCCTTGCTAAACGGCATACTGTAGCAGTGTAGTCTTCAACAAAGGACAACTTCAGATAAACAACTGACATGTGCCTTCGCTCCACAACCAGGACCAGAGCTTGGTTGAAGGACGCCCAGAAAGCATCAGTTGCAGCCTCAGACCCTGCCAAACCCAAAACTTTTGCCTGGCGTCAGGAACATGTCTGCAATTTAACTTGCCTTGTTGGGCCGGCTTCACCAGGACTTTGTGCACAGCAGATCAAGTGAGTGATGACAAGGCCAGGCGCGGGTACTGTGTCAGAAATTGAACCACACATTGAGCAATGCTGAGCAGCGGTGTGATTTCTGAGGATTTCTAGAGTCTTGAAGCTTCAGTGACTTGCTTGATCGTGAAAAGCCCCCCTATCTCCGCAAGTGAAAAATATTTAAGCTTGTATGGCAGCCTTCTTGCTCGGACTTTTTGAGCACCTTACCTTGCATCATTTGCATCATGGATCTCGAAGATCTGGAACAAACCTCGTCCCTTGTAGAGGTTGAGTCAATTAAGATTGCAGCGCCAGAGCGCCGGTTTTGTCTTCGCCGGCATGGCATCTTCATGTCCTTGGCCTTGCTGGGCATCGGCTCACTGTTGACAGCAACGGGACACATCTCAGGGACAATGTTCTTGGCCCTGTTTCAGCAGGACAATTCCGTTTGCCGTGAGGTGTTTCAGCAAGAAATCGACAAGGGCAATTCTATCCGTTTTGCCAAGATTGAGTTTCAGAATCGCCAAGACATCTCCCAAGGTTTGAAAGTTCACAAGAGGGAGTTTGCAAATGCTGCTGAGGCTGCAGACATTCTGTTGGACAGCACCACCAATTTCATGGAAGTTGGCGAATGCACGCCTGAATCCAAGACCATGTTGTGGTTTTACCCTGTCGAGGAGGGAGACCATAATGGGGCCTTCAACGTGTATGAGTATGAGTGCCAACGCACTTCTGACCTTCAGAACCAGCAAGAATGCGTTCGCTTGTACCGCGTGGCAAACTCTTACCAAGCCATCCAAGCCCTCAATCGACAGGCTCCTGGAAGCGTAGTTGACCTTGTTCTAGGAGGGCATGGCTCCGACACAACAAATGGAGGCTCTTTGCAACTGGGAAATCCCCTCGATGCTGAGGAAGAAGTACACTGGAATGATGCAGAAGAGCTTTTCACCGCCATGGCTCCGAAACTCGCCCCTCAAGCGACAGTCATCTTGGATTCTTGCCATGGGGCCATCAACAAAATGGCAGAAACAGCTTCCAGGATCCTTCCGAGTCATTGGGTTTTTGCTGGTGTTGTGATGACAACCGGTGAAGTCACCGTGGAACAGGTTCCCTTTGACGGGGGGCTGGAAGGCCCAACGCACTTGCCCTCCAACCCTGGTAAATTCACCGCTGTGAATGCAAAAGCATCCCTGGACGCGTTGCGCAAGGGGTATTCGGAGTACCAGGTGGGATACGAGGAGCTACCAGCCACCAAAGCCAGTGGCGTGGAGCTTCGAGTGGCAAGTGCGGACCTTGTCCAATGGGATGCCAAAACCCTCGACAACTACCCAGTGTCTAGCACAAAAGAGTATTTTGGGGAACGCTTGGCAGCTTTCTACGGTGGCAAGAATCGCGGCATCGTGACCCAGTGGATGTATCCCTCCAAAAACGGAAAGGTCATTCAGAAAGGCCAAAAGGTCAAAGTCGCCCAACCATTCGGGGCGTGGAGGTCGGAAATGGCAGAGGATCAGGATGGCAAAGCAGCTGCAGTTATTTTCACAAATGTCTTGCCAAAAGGGCTGACCGGCACGGTGCTCAATGTTGGTGCCACGGATGGAACCCCGTCAGCTGGCAACGCCATGATTCTGTTTGACTTGCCACAGCTCGAATCTGGAAGCACTTTGAATTCTGGTGCGAACTTGGGGCTTCACACGGTACTGACCCGCGACTTCAACAAACTTGAGGTGACTGAAGTGATTTGAAGAAAGTTTCAATCTCAATTGTTTCATAGAGCAGCTTTTTTTCGATTCCGTCGCGAATTGGTTAAAAATGCCGTCCTTGGTTTCTTGCACATTCGGATCCAAGATCAGTCTTTATTCATGCAGGAAAGGCAGTCTCAAATATATCTATGTCTGACTTAGAGTCAATACTGTACAGTCTATACACAAACTTGGTGCAGTGCTGCCTGGCAGGTGGTCGCAAGAGTGACAGAATGGAGGTGACAGCTGGTAATTGATTCTCAGGTGTTGAGTCCGCATGGATTCATACGCACTAAGCATCTTGCAGCCGGAGCCAAGCATGAAGAGCTGGCAAAACAACAACTAAGTGCATGAAAACAATTCGTTTGCAAGAAGTCGCCAAGAAAAAAACATGGTCCGTATCTTTTCAGAGACGCCGTGAAAACACAGCGACAACGTGTCAATCCCACGTGGAGCAGGTGGGATCCTGAGAGCAGCGCAGTTCCCACAGTGCACCGAGTGATTGCAGTTCATTGATGTGCGCCAATTGATATCAATTTACATCAACCTTCATCCTCTAAGTGGTTGGATTCAAAGGATTTGCTTGGTTTCGATGGGTTCGAGGTGTTGGACACACTTCCAGAGTTTAGAGCTTCTGAGCCCCGGAGGTCTCAAGCGTGCAGATTTCATGTATTTTGGCTGCAAGATCTCCTTGACCCTTTTCCACGCAACATTGGTTTGTGATTCCCATCGCAATCACCAGCTCAAACTGTGATTTTGGAGCGCCCCTCACATCATCAATCTTCCCAAACATTTCTCAATCTCAGGCAATTGCGACACCTGCAATCTTCAACGGGCGCAAAATGACCAGTCTGAGAAACACTCTCAACTTCAAACCATGTCACACCGTTTCAATTTCAAATCTCAGGAATGGTGTTCTTTCCACCAGCGAAACTCAGAACTAATCAGAACTAATCAGAACTAATCAGAAGATCCTGTCCGGTGGTATGGCAAAATATCATGGCGCATGCAGTTTGTTGGTCCAGTCCAACTGATCCCAGGCTGTTTCGGCAGGTGTGTTGTAGTCCGAACATGAAATCATGGATATGGATGGATATGGCCAGATCCCTTTGACTATTTGTGGTTTCTCTATAGAATTGGTGGGTGGTCAGCATGATGCACCTTCTTCTCTTGTTCTTGTGCTGGAAATCGTGCGGATGTGCCGACGCTCAGGCTCTTCGTAGATGAATGACATATAATGATGGTGTCAGCCAGTGACAGTAATGCAAGATGTCATTTCTTGCAGATCCTGCGCAGTTCCTAAAGCCACGGACGACTCAAAACAACACTTGGAGCTTTGTGTCCTGACTCACGGAGAAACGCCTTGAAAAGAATTTGCTAGCAACATTCGCTTCATTTTCCACAATGCGATAGACTTTTCAATGCCATTGCCAGACATAGGAATACTAGACAATGTGAGCCAAGCAATCAATCCAACTGTAACGCGGTACACGATTTCGAATTCCCATGGCAGAAGAGGAGCCAGAATGAGCATTCAACTTGACCTGGAGCATGGTTTGTGGCACTATGTGGCACTCTCTTGCTCCAGCAAAGGCAACTGCTTTTAGTGCCATTTGAATCCATTTGAAATATATAAAATGATCAAATAATATCAAATAGAATAATCTTGGAATCCCAGCTTTCCCCATTTCCTCAACAGAACTGTTCCATTTTGTCCAGGACGAAGCGACAGCCCGCCGCCGGCCATGGCACTCGGTCTACATCGCCCTGTCCTTGGGATCTTGGGATGATGGATGAAGGCACCTCTGACGATGGAGATCTGAAAGTTGGGAAATTGGGGATGGGGGTCCTGTCTGTCTATATCTGTATTTGTCAGTCCAATCGTTACATACTGTATCATTTTGAAGATCAAAGAGACTTTCTGAGGATTTAGGATCAACAGAATTCAAACTCCTGGAAGAGAAGGAAAAGGAGGAGAAAATAAAAGGAATGAACGAAGGGACCTCGACGCTTCGTCCTGCAATGTGTCTATCATGTCATCCTCACCCCAAGGCTTACAAGTCAAAGGTCCTTTGGCCAACTTGTGGAGTGACCTCCCCTTTCCCAGCAGGGTCGATTTCCTCTGAGAAGTGTTAATATCAAGAAACAAACTGCCCAGAATGTACACACATTAAGCATTTATTTGATCTTCGTCGCCCTGTTGTTCTCTGTGGATATACGAGAGACATGCACCAGTCACAGAAATTGGGACTGCCCGCTGAGGTGCTTGGCCAGGAGAGCCAGCGGATTCATACCCTGGGATGGTTTTCTGGAAATTATGAACACAGCTGGTGGAGCTGTTGCAGTCTGCAGGAGTTGCCTTTCGACCTGGTTTTCGAGGACTTGAGACCTCAGGCAGTCCACAGCCGGCCATCAGTCGGTCACATCATTGGAAAATATGCAGCACGCAGATGTGGATGCAGCACCCGGCAACGGAGGTTCTCCAGACTTGTTTGGATGTGCTCGGCCGCAGTTTCCTTCGAAGTTGGCCCGGTGGGCCACAGGTTCGCGGCCCAGATACAGACACGGCATGTATGCTGTGGAACTCATTCCCATGAAAGCTTGGAAGCGTTTGATCACCACTTAATTTGAAATCCGCTTGCACATATTCTTACGAACTTTTCGGATCAAAGTACCTCCATATCTGGGAATTGCAAGCATCTCTTGCGCTACACTTGGACAAGGAAATGGAGGATTCCTTGCGAAGAGGCGTTGAGGCACGGGGCAGGATTCAACAGGATTGGAATGCCGCAGAGATTTGCAAGAGGAGTTTTTTAATCAGGTCAAAACGATGGGATTCCTGGCTATCAAGGCCGCGTAAAGCGGAAACCGCATTTCTGTCCAGGGTTGCTGCCCAGGATCACAATTTTCCATCATTTTCCCATACAATTCCCACTGAAAAATCCTAGTCCTTTAGGAATCTGGATCTGGTCCAGTTGCGCATGGTCTTCGTCACAGCCAAGCACAGGAGGGGCGATGGGGAAGGTGCTCCCATGATACAATGAGAACATTTGCAAGAGGAATCCAATGTAAATGAATTATCAATGAATATCAGAAATCACAATACTACAAGCATCAGAAGTTGTTTTCTTCCAACACTTGTTCGTGGTCACCTTGTGTCGTTGTCCTCGTCAACCAATTTCTGGCCTGGTGGTTCCAGGAGCTTTCAGGCCGCTTGGCTCCTCTCGTGGTCACCCAGGTGAGAACTCTGCAGTTTCCTGGGCTTCAAATTTTGAGCCACACCCAGTCGGTTTGAGAAGCAGTTTTATCTTCCTGCTATTTTGATTTTTCACATGATAGGTCTTGGTCAACAGGATAGCGGCAAGCGCTGTTGCGAGGCAACTGATGTTGTGGGAATCCTTTTTCTGTTCAATCTTGCCTTGTGAATCCTTTGACTACCAGATTCCCCAGTCGTGCTGCTTCACATCACTGCAGCTATAGCAGCTTTTCTCAAGGCCGCGTCCTCCTTTGATTGGAGCCAGCAGCTAAGTCAGCTTAGTTTGAGACAAGTTGGATCTGACTTTTGTTCCCAGTTCATCTCAGATCATCTCAGTTCGAAAATTTGCGTTGACCTGTCTTGCTTCGGAGGTTACGCGGATTCCACCACCTCCACAGGCTAGCGGCATTGAATCAGCAGCATTGAACACAGCACGGCAACGTTTTCAACTGTGCAGCGACTGCAGCTTGGCTTTTACATCTAAATCATACTAGTACATATACAAATATCACATTCATGTCTGTACATATATATATATATCAAATAAATTGACCATATATATATATTTGTATGTCAAATATGTGTGCATAATATATATATATATATACATATGAAGCATATTAACAAAAAACATTTACCTATATATATATGATTCATATTAACATAAATCATGTGCGTATATGTATATATTTATTTATCAGGTATATATATATGAATACAAAGAAATCATACGTTTATTGTATATACTTTATATTTCAGAGTGTGCCCATCCTATGCTTTGGCCAGGGAAGCAGGGTTGCGTCGAAGAGGCGCTCTGATTGGCGGTGAGGATTTTCCAGTCTTTACAGAAGACTTACAAATTCTGTCGGTGCGTTTTTGAAAATCAAATTTTCATGTACACGTTGCCGCTCATTTTTTTTCAGGGGACCTACATGTCTGTGACGAAGGGCGAGGAGGCTGCCACGCGTCGTTTTCCCGAACTCCTTGCTTCTCCTTCCTTCCTTGTCGTCCTCCTCCTCTGCTCGCCAGCTTTCTTGCCAGCTTCGGTCTTCTAGACTTATGACGCAGAATGCTTCCTTTTATTGAAAACCAGCACATAATTAAAAAAAAACAAAAAGCCAGCAAAAAAAAACAAACCAAAAAAAAACAATCCAACAAAACAAACAAAAATCAAAACAAAGACAATAAACAACAATAAGCAAAACAAAAAACAATAAGCAGCGCACGGTTTGAATCTCAGAGAGACTTTGTGCTTCTCCCTAATCGCTGCAGCTTGTTGATACCACTTGCTCTCAAAGTCCACAGTCTGCTGCGTTGCCTGCTGCCAAGCTGTGGACTGTGGACTTTGAGAGCAAGTGGTATCAACAAGCTGCGGCGATTGGGGAGAAACACAAAGCCTCTCTGAGTTTCAAACCGCGCGCTGCTTATTGTTTTTTGTTTGTTTTTTGTTTGTTTTGTTGGATTGTTTTTTTTTGTTTGTTTTTTTGTTTTTTTGATTGTTTTTGTCATAATTTTACCTCTTTTCCATTTTCCAATGAATGAAGGTCTCTCGACGTCATAATTCTAGACGACTCGACAGCTCTCTGGGCCTATCGAAGTCTCTACAGCTCGCCGGACCCGAACAATATGGCGAGCTCCAGCTGTCTGTGGCTCTGTAAACTTTCTGGGTCCTTGGGCGCGAATGTCAGATTGTGTGTCAGATGCAATGCCATATAGAACGCAGATAGAATGGCAGACAAAAAGTCAGAATGTATGACAGCTAGAATGCCGGTAGCAGATACATTGCCAGGGAGACTGCCAGGTAAAAGGTCAGCATTTATGTCAGATAGAATGCCATAGAGACCGTCAGATGAAATGTCAGAATATGTGTCAGATGTATTTCAGATAGATTGTCAGTTTCTGGGGAGCATGGTTTTGTCATTCGGTTATGCGATCAGCTGCCGTTTTGCATTGTCCAAAAACTATTTTGCTTTGCTTTCCAACAAGAACCATGAGTGACTGACTGGCAAACTGATTTGGTGCGACCTTTTCCCGATCTTTCGCTCAAAATAGGAATTACTTTCGTCGAGTGATCCCCACCAACTGACAATCCATCGGACGTATATTCTGCCCTCCTACCTGGCATTCTATTTGCCATATATTCTGACTTCGTATCTTGCAGTCTATTTGAGATAGAAACCGACATTTTATCTGACATATATTCTGACATTCTATCTGGCATTCTTTTTGACATTCTACTTGCGAACAATCCAATTCCATGTTTTTTATTGGCGCTGTATCTGACATTATTTTAGGCATTCTATCTGACATTCTTTCTGGCATTTAGCTGGCATGCCATCCGGCATTTTATTTGACACATTTGGCATAAATTTTGAAATTCTTTCTGGCATGTGGTCTGACATTTTATTTGACATATATTTTGTTATATGGCATTCTATCTCACTGTATTTCAAAATTTTGCCAAACATGTCACATAAGATGCCAGATAGAATACCAGCTAAAATGCCAGAAATCATTTCAGATCACATGCCAAGAGGTATTTCAAATCTTTGCCAAATATGTCATGCTGGATGGCGTGCCAGCTAGAATGCCAGAAATAATGTCAGATCACATGCCATAAGGTATTTCAAAAAATTGCCAAACATGTCAAAAAGATGCCAGATGGAATGCCAGCTGAAATGCCAGAAATAATGTCAGATCACATGCCAGAAGGTATTTCAAAATTTTGCCAAATATGGCAAATAAGATGCCGGATGGCATGCCAGCTAAAATGCCAGAAAAAATGAATGCGTGAGATAATGTCAGACGCAGCGCCAGGAAAAACAACATGGAATTAGATTTTTTCTCAGATAGAATGTCAGAAAAAATGCCAGATAGAATGTCAGAATATATGTCAAATAAAATATCGGTTTCTATCTCAGATAGAATGCAAGATGCGACGTCAGAATATATGGCAAATAGAATGCCAGATAGGAGGGCAGAATATATGGCAAATAGAATGCCGGTTTCTCCGATTTCGCCTCGTGCGTTCGCAGGACCTCTTGCTCCTGTGCCGGCTGCAAATTTAGCATCTTGACTTTTGTCTTGATGCTGATGACTTTGCGTTCTGGTTCGACATGGGCGAGGAGATCTGAGCTGCGTTTGAAACTCCACTCTGCATGTTTAGGTTTGGGTTGGCATACTTTCCATCAGGCTGTAAAGACTTTGCCTGGGTTTCGTAAACAGCATGAAAGGTTTGAGATAAGCAATGATAAGCAATGATCACACATATAATAAATTGCTGTAAGCCGTTCGGAAGACCATGTCGGGCCATGAGCGCTGGGGTTCAAATAAGGTTGTGTGACTCATGTGGTGCATGTTATGAATGTTGAGGATGATGCATGTGTATATAGGAAAAGCAGGCTAGAATGCATACAGTTTTCTTCACGGTATTGTTTTAGATTGGAATTTGCCGCAGGCTCGGCGTAACCAATTTCTAAGCTGGGCGCAAGCGAAGGTTGCATTCACTTGACCCCTAGCCCATTGTGTTTCCTTTTCAATTGTATCATTCAGGACCAGTTCCAGCGCAGCCTCTTGCGCCGAATGGAGGTCCGGTGCGATGAGGCCTGCTCCGGATCTTGGAGCAATGAATGAGTGATCCTTAAAGAATCAGAATTCGGCCGAAATCATGGACATGTGATGTAGGGGTGTAACGCCTGTTGCCATGAACATGTCGTTTGTTTTGCAGGGCCAAATCCAACAGATCGAGCACAGAAGTGTAAAAACCCTGTGAGAAAGTGAAGTCAGCTCAAAAAGACCCAACAAAAGTATGTAGTATCTCACAGGCATGTCATCTCATGTCATCCAAAGAGAACTTGTGATGGAATTGGGTGATCATTCCAGTTTCTACATGTGGGTAGTACCCAGGTTACATCCCAGTGAAGCATGGGGTTATTTGAATTTGGAGGACTGGGTGCTAGACTAGACGCTTGCAACCTATCTATAGGTGGTTCAATCCTGATTGTTGATAGTTAAATCTACGATTTCTCAGGGGTGCATCTTCGTTGTTGTATGCTTCATTAAACCATATATTCAACCCTAATTTCGACCGTCAGAGCCCTACTTCTTCTGGTAAAACCCTCGTTCCGGTGATTACCAGACATGTCCGGATGCTTAAGCCAGCATCCTTCCCCCAATATACTGATGCCCCAAAAGACCACCTTTGAAATCCTACAGGACAACTTTTCTAAATCATGGCCAATGTTGATCTTGCGTAATTACAACGGGACAAAATTACATAAACATAATTGTTGCTGCTCCATATCAGGACCATTCTTCACCTATCCGGTCTTGGGACCTCTACACTGCACTCTCGCAATAAATGTAAATGATATATATGTAAAACAATCTGAAATGATTCCTCAAATAATCCTTAAATCACATATAACATCCTAGAACCCTGGACACGTAAACAATTTATTTATTTGGAGGTTCCTAGAAACCCACGTATTAGTTGATTCTCCCCTTATTTTGGTTGGTTGCATCTCCATTCTGGTTGATTCCGACTATGAATCCCTTCCCAATTCCAAGTCTCGAAGTGGGCTGCAAGTAATTCGCTCATTTTGTTGGTTAACTTGTTGGTTAAATTTGTGTTGATCTTTGAATCTTTGTTTTTGCCGCTGAATTTTCGAACTTGAGACCGGCCAGGACCCAGGGCAAAGCACAACCGCCAGAGAGGCAGAAAGTCGTTGCTGGGAAAAATGAACAAACATGAACACGAAATATGATTAAACATGAATACATATGAATACGTAGTGATAAACATGAATATGAACAACTTTGAATCATGTGCTATTCCTCGTTTGGAGTGATTCAAGAAAAACCAACAGCAAAACCCATGGGTTTCCTCCGGAAAATTTGGGGAACAATTGGTCAAACCGATACACACTCAATGACGTTTAATCCGATGCAAGGTCAAAGCGAACCGGGCGAGCAACATCCTGTCACAGAGGACTGGAAAGCGAATGTGCTGTGAACAGATCGTTTCGATGGGTTTCAAGGAAAGTGTGTCCTTTTCATTTGTTGCCTCGGTTTCCGATACTTCCGATACTTGTACTTACAGATCTTACAGATTATTAACAGCATTCTGATTTGAATTGATTTGGAAGGCCTCACCTCCGGATAGCCCTGGGGCAAGAAGTCCAACAACCGTGAGAGAGGCCTCTGAGAAAATGACGTCAGTCCAAGAAGATACGGTATCTCACTGTCATGATTGTCATGATGCAGTTGTTACTGCGTCAAAGTTTTCAGAGGTGTCGACGCCTGTTGCCATAACATTTTGGTTTGTGCTGCAGGGTCAAAGCGAACCGGGCGAGCAACATCCTGTCACAGAGGACTGGAAAGAGAATGTGCTGTGAACAGATCGTTTCGATAGGTTTCAAGGAAAGTGTGTCCTTTTCATTTGTTGCCTCGGTTTCCGATACTTCCGATACTTGTACTTACAGATCTTACAGATTATGAACAGCATTCTGATTTGAATTGATTTGGAAGGACTCACCACCGGATAGCCCTGGGGCAAGAAGTCCAACAACTGTGAGAGAGGCCTCTGAGAAAATGACGCCAGTCCAAGAAGATACGGTATCTCACTGTCATGATTGTCATGATGCAGTTGTTACTGCGTCAAAGTTTTCAGAGGTGTCGACGCCTGTTGCCATAACATTTTGGTTTGTGCTGCAGGGTCAAAGCGAACCGGGCGAGCAACATCCTGTCACAGAGGACTGGAAAGAGAATGTGCTGTGAACAGATCGTTTCGATAGGTTTCAAGGAAAGTGTGGCCTTTTAATTTGTTGCCTCGGTTTCCGATACTTCCGATGCTTGTACTTACAGATCTTACAGATTATGAACAGCATTCTGATTTGAATTGATTTGGAAGGACTCACCACCGGATAGCCCTGGGGCAAGAAGTCCAACAACCGTGAGAGAGGCCTCTGAGAAAATGACGTCAGTCCAAGAAGATACGGTATCTCACTGTCATGATTGTCATGATGCAGTTGTTACTGCGTCAAAGTTTTCAGAGGTGTCGACGCCTGTTGCCATAACATTTTGGTTTGTGCTGCAGGGTCAAAGCGAACCGGGCGAGCAACATCCTGTCACAGAGGACTGGAAAGAGAATGTGCTGTGAACAGATCGTTTCGATAGGTTTCAAGGAAAGTGTGTCCTTTTCATTTGTTGCCTCGGTTTCCGATACTTCCGATACTTGTACTTACAGATCTTACAGATTATGAACAGCATTCTGATTTGAATTGATTTGGAAGGACTCACCACCGGATAGCCCTGGGGCAAGAAGTCCAACAACTGTGAGAGAGGCCTCTGAGAAAATGACGTCAGTCCAAGAAGATACGGTATCTCACTGTCATGATTGTCATGATGCAGTTGTTACTGCGTCAAAGTTTTCAGAGGTGTCGACGCCTGTTGCCATAACATTTTGGTTTGTGCTGCAGGGTCAAAGCGAACCGGGCGAGCAACATCCTGTCACAGAGGACTGGAAAGAGAATGTGCTGTGAACAGATCGTTTCGATAGGTTTCAAGGAAAGTGTGGCCTTTTAATTTGTTGCCTCGGTTTCCGATACTTCCGATGCTTGTACTTACAGATCTTACAGATTATGAACAGCATTCTGATTTGAATTGATTCGGAAGGACTCACCTCCGGATAGCCCTGGGGCCAGAAGTCCAACAACTGTGCGGGAGGCAAGTCAGAGGAAAACCGTTTTGATTGAAGATTGGATGTCATCGTCAAGTTTTGATCCTTTCCCCATGCAAGCAGTATTTTGTCAACTAGTTTTGGCGTGCTTTTCAGAGGCGGTGGTGACGTGTCGTTGCTTAGATTATTGGAACATTTTGGATGCTGGCTTGGAACCTTCTTGATTTTATTTCTGGAACCTCTTGATTTTATTTTTGCAAACCCCTCAGTTGGATGACTGGTGATTTTCATGATTTTCTCTTTGCGCAACGTGTGGGGTTGAACTCCCCTGATTTCATTTTTGCATTTTGGGGGTCAGTAGCCTGGGCCCCCTTGATTTCATTTTATTTTTCAGGGGCTCAACCCCACCTGGGTGCACCACAAGGGGATCTTAGATTCTGATCCGTGTTTGCAGGGAAAAAGGGAACCTGGCGAGCAAAATGCCGTCACAGAGGACTTGAAAAGAAAAGGTAGCGCCGTCGTTACATGTTAAGTATGTCAAGTACCAGGGAACATGATGTAGCGTAGCACATATGTTAAGTATGTCAAGTACCAGAGAACATGATGCAGTGTAGCACATATGTTAAGTATGTTAAGTACAAGAGTAAGAGAACATGATGTAGCGTCGCACATATGTTAAGTATGTTTAGCATGTTAAGTACGAGAGAACATGATGTAGCGTAGCACATGTGGTAAGTATGTGAAGTACCAGAGAACATGATGTAGCGTAGCAGATAGGTTAAGTATGTCAAGTACCAGAGAACATGATGCAGCGTAGCACATATGTTAAGTATGTTAAGTACAAGAGCAAGAGAACATGATGTAGCGTCGCACATATGTTAAGTATGTTAAGTATGTTAAGTATCAGAGAACATGATGCAGCGTAGCACATATGTTCGAAGGAAGTTTAGAAGTCAAACTTCCGACAATATGGACAGATGAAAAGCAGAGCAGGGAAGAGGCAGAGAGAAGAGAAAGACTAGAAGAAAGAAGAGTAGAAGAGAAAGAGCAAGAAGAAAGAAGATGCAGATGCGAGAAAAGGTAGGAAAGTCGCGAAACACTGTGTTTTTCCAATGATTTGGGGCTCCGGAGGGTCGAAAAGTAGGCTCGCTAAAGCGGCAGGTGCGGAGCCAGCTGGCCAGATGAGAGATGAAAAATTGCACGCCGATGTGGCGCGAAGCACATTTCCAAGTCAAAATGTACAAAGCACACCAGGTTCGGACCACTTTTGGAAGTTGAGATGTCGAAAAAAGTGCACGCCGTTGTGGCGCGAAGCACATTTCCAAGTCAAAATGTACAAAACACACCATGTCGGACCACTTTTGGAAGTTGAGATGTCGAAAAAGTGCACGCAGTTGTGGCGCGAAGCACATTTCGAAGTCAAAATGTACAAAAAACACACCATGCTCGGACCACTTTTGGAAGTTGAGATGTCGAAAAAGTGTACGCCGTTGTGGCGCGAAGCACGTTTCGAAGTCAAAATGTAAAAAGCACTACATGTTCGCGCCACTTTTGGAAGTTCAGATGTGCTTTCGCGTGGCAGGCGCAAGGGATTGTGCACCTTCTCAAAAGTGAGCAAAAACGTGAGGGTTTTGTAGCATTTTCAACTACAACGACATTACACCACACTACACTTCCATACATATTACACTACACTACACTACAACTACAACTACAACTACACCTTCACCACATTCTACTACACTACACTCCACTACACTACACTGCACTCAATTACACTCAATTACCCTACACTACACTACATTACACTACACTACGCTCCACTACACTACACTACACTACATTACACTACACTACATTACACTACACTACACTACATTACCTTCCACTACACTACATTACACTACAGTACACTCCACTACACTACACGTCCCTACACTACAACTACAACTGCACAACTACACTCCACTACACTCCACTACACTAAATTACACTACACTACACTACACTACACTACACTCCACTACACTGCACTACACTACATTACACTACACTACCTTCCACTACACTTCACTACATTACACTACACTACACTCCACGACACTACAACTACAACTACAGCTACACAACTACACTCCACTACACTCCACTACACTACACTCCACTCCACTACACTACATTACACTACACTACCTTCCACTACACTTCACTACATTACACAACACTACACTCCACTACATTACAACTACAACTACGACTACACAACTACACTCCACTACACAAAATTACACTACACTACATTACACTACACTACACTACATTCCACTACACTCCACTACACTACACTACATTACACTACACT